CAGGAGTCACGATTTCACCCAGACCCTGGGATGGCAGGACGGACGGTGTCCTGGGACAGCATGGGGTTGCCAGAAGGAGCGCACACAGACGGAATGACGGACACACACGCAGGGCACACGCACAGGGAGCACACACATGCAGGTTAGTGCCTTCACTGGCACTGGGCAAGTATTCGTGTCAACCTAAAAAGAAACTCAGAGACAAGCTTTCGTTGGCTTGGGAATGGCAAGGGGTTGCAGTTCAGGGTAGGCAAGCTGTGGCAGGTGATGGGTGTATCCAGGGGAGTTGGGAAAAGGGCAAATCTTAAAGACAAAAAGGGCCGGGCGCGGCGGCTCACGCCTGCAATCCCAGCACTTTGGGAGGCCTTGGGGGGCGGATCACCTGAGGTCAGGAGTTCGAGACCAGCCTGGACAACATGGCAAAACCCGTCACTACTAAAAATATAAAAATTAGCTGGGCATGGTGGCTGGTGCCTGTAATCCCAGCTCCTTGGGAGGCTGAGGCAGGAGAATCCCTTGAACCTGGGAGGCGGAGGTTGCAATGAGCCAAGATTGAGCCACTGCTCTCCAGCCTGGGAGACGGAGCGAGACTCCATCTCAGAACAACAGCAACAACAACAAAAACAAGAAAGAGGCCCACGTAAGCCGCTTTCAAAGCCAACGGTTACAAGGACTGAGGATTGCAGCGGTCTGTCACCGGAGCTGGAATTAGTGCAGGGGCTGAGACAGTCCTGCTTGGCCAGCGTCCGTCTGGAGCAGTGCAACGCCAAGGACATTCTGTGGGTGGTGGAACTGTCTCCGCGTGGGACTGTCTTGGGCTGCACCCGGCCACAGGCCTGTGTGTGTGCCTGTCCACGTTGGTGGCTGCAGCTTTCACGGTGGACACCCTCCACCCTCCACAGAGCTCATTCCACAGGAGTGGGGCAGTACTTCCCGGAGAGCAGAAGGCCTGTGTGAATTGTAACTCAGAATAATCTTCACTAAAATAACATGCACTTAGCTCTCTTTTGTAGACAAAAGTTGCCTGACGTGTTGGTTAAGGGAACCCAAACGCATTCCAACCCTAGTGGCAGGAGAACACGTCTCTTCACATCAGACAAATCAGACCCCCGGGGATCCATGGTGAGGGGACTTGGCTGTGTGTGGACAGGACAGGGAGTGTGGGAGCAGGGAAGAGGACGCGAGCCTGGGTGTTCTGGGCCCCAGGTGGAAGGTCTGATCTGCTGTGCTGTGGGCCAGACTCCCAGGGACGGCCAGGGCCAGTCACGTGCAGGAGGTTTGCTGTGGGGAGCTGAGCAGAAAGAGGTGAGTTCCCTGTAGGCGTGGCAGGGGCTTGTGTGATGGTCTGCAGCGGGATGGTCCTCGAGAGAGGAGCCACAGGGCCAGGCATTAGCACCCTCCATCCACCAGTCCCTGGATGTGGCCCCAGGAAGGGCATAACCTTGGGACAAACATCCACTTCTGCCATGGACCGTCCGGGATGGGTAGGCACGTCTGCCCGGGGGTCTCTCGACCTGTAAGAGGGTCCCAATACCTGGAAGAGGGAGTGCGCCTGGAAAATTAATAAAGACAGAGAGAGAGAAAGCGAGGCGTCTGGAGGGCTGATAGGCTGTGCCTAAACAGCAAATTTTATTTTTCAAAGGCCAGGAATAAATACACTTTCTTGGCTTTGGTTTACGCCATAGTAAGAGGAATGTAAATGTGTACCTTACATGGCCTCTACAATAGAGAAGTCAGATATGCGATCAATGGTTGTAAAAAGTAACAAAATTTTCTACAATCACAAAGTTTGTTTGCATCCAAACATTATTCACAAAGCTTGTTTATATCCAAACATTATTCACAGACTTGTTTATATCCAAACATTATTCACAAGACTTGTTTATATCCAAACATCATTCATAGCTTGTTTATATCCAAACATTATTCCTCCTGGCTGCAGGTATCTCTGGTTTGACCTTGTTTTAGAACTGAGATGTGAAAAGGTTTTTTGGTTTTGCTCATCAGAATGTCTTTTAATCAGATTCTCCTTTGTCTACTCCTGACTCAACTTAACTCAACTTCCCCATTCAGGAGTCTCTGAGTCAGGAATCAAAGCCATCCCTTATGGTGGCATTTTGCTTTGCAAATATCGACAGTTAAACCATTATCTAGGGTACAAGGCAGTCCAGTAAGTAAAGGTTAAAACTTATTCTTAAAGTCATAAAAAGGTTAAAGGCAGGAACCGGTTGCTGGTAGGGGGTTGCTGGTAGGGGGTTACTCGGTCTAGCAGCAACGCATAATTTTAGGCCCAAAACGATATTGTGGTTGATATTAGAAACTGATCATTCATCTTTCAGTTCCTATATTTCCGGATAGCTCGACTGCCTCCAGTAGGAAACTGTGTTTGGGATCAAACTCACCGTATAGTGAGACTCACGCCTTTTAGGGGTCTCACACGGGAGTGTTCCCCACATACTTCAGCCAAGGTGAAAGCACAGGTGGGCAGCCCCTGAGGGCTGTGGCCAGCAACACTCAGCTGCTAGGAGGGGCAGCCAGAGGGGGACTGAAGAAGGGCATTCTCAGCCTCCTGAGTAGCTGGGACTGTAGGCGCGCACCAACATGCCCAGCTTTTTTTTTTTTTTTTTTTTTTGAGACAGAGTTTCGCTTGTTTCCCAGGCTGGAGTGCAATCTCAGCTCACTGCTACCTCCACCTCCCGGGTTCAAGCGATTCTCCTGCCTCAGCCTCCCGAGTAGCTGGGATTACAGGCATGCGCCACCACACCCGGCTCCCAGCCCCTTGCACCCCCACGGCCTCATCCCACCACTCTCTACCCAGGGCTCTTCTGTGGGCCTGATCTTCTGCAGCGACCCCGCCAAGCAGGAAGGGAAGCCTGTGTCAGGAGGACAGACAGCTAAGAGCTGCAGTTTGCCATCAGCTGAGCGTGGCCGTGCTCCTCCCTGGGAAATGCCAAGGGAGGGACCCCTGCTCTACCCAGAGCCCTGCTAAGCAGGGTCAAAAACTTGCAGCCTGGGGAGCACCATGCCTGCGGCCAAACCATCCAGCGCGTGAGCCCCGGATGATGGGGCCGCCGAGAGCCAAGGCAGCCGGCTCGGACAACTGACGGTCATCAGATGAGGCAGCACATTACCAGTCTTTGTTGTTCACGTTTAAGTCCCCCACAATTGTGTCACAAAGCGGCAGCACTGTGAAGGACCAACCACCAGGCTCCGATGACCCTGAATGCAGCCAGCTGCTTGCTGCAGGGCAGGGCGCTCAAAACCTGTCTTCACGGCCCTTCATGGCTACTGCTGGGACATCAGCTGCTCTGTCCCCACCTGTGTTCAAGCACCTGAAGGCCCTTCCTACGGCGCCCACTGGGCAGGGGACAAACCAGACACGAAACACGTGTGCTCTTACCAGCCTGGACTCTGTGAGTTACGGAAAGGCACCTGCACACCCCGCAAGACAGATTTCCACTCACCCTGCAGGGCCCTCATGACCTCACTGAGCTCTGCCGGATCCGCCCTGCAGATGTGCTTTTCCTGCACAGGGTCTGCGGGCCAGGACTGACCCAGAGCAGCTTCTGCTACGGCCGAACCGTCACTCTGAAATTCCCAGGTGGAGCCCCGAAGCCCAAGGCGGTGATAGGAGGAGGCATCTGGGAGGTGATTTGGCTTCGATGGGGTGGGATCCGGTCCCCCACAAAGAAAAGATGACACCAAACCCCTCCCCACAAGAGGACACCTCTGTGAACCAGGAGGTGCTGAGCAGTAACGGAGCCTCCTGGCTCCTCTACCTGGGACTTCAGCCTTCAGAGCTGGAGAAAATAAACCTCTGTTCTCTGTGCCACCGTCTGTGGTGTCCCGTTAAGGCAGCCTTGTAACTCCACGACTTACGGCTGCTCGCTACAATCTTCAGTGAGGACTAAAGAACTCATACTTATGCTATAAATAAAAGATTTGGGGAATTTTCAAACGCACCAACCTCCCAGCTTCAACAGCTGTCAATGCTCACATACTACTGTGTCTCTCTGCTTTTTATTAGCATTTCAAAGCACAACCCAGGAGCCACATCCTTTCCCAATGAACACCTGAGAACGCCTGAGTGAGCTTCTTCCTTCAGCACAACCCGTCACCGTGACTCTGCGGCCAGGCGTGGTGGCTCAAGCCTGTCATCCCAGCCCTTTGGGAGGCCGAGGCGGGTGGATCACGAGGTCAAGAGATCGAGACCATCCTGGTCAACATGGTGAAACCCCGTCTCTACTAAAAATACAAAACATTAGCTGGGCATGGTGGCGCGTGCCTGTAATCCCAGCTACTCAGGAGGCCGAGGCAGGAGAATTGCCTGAGCCCAGGAGGCGGAGGTTGCGGTGAGCCGAGACCGCGCCATTGCACTCCAGCCTGGGTAACAAGAGCGAAACTCCGTCTCAAAATAAATAAATAAAAGTAACTCTGCACAGGCCAGGCGCGGTGGCTCACGCCTGTAATCCCAGCACTTTGGGAGGCTGAGGCAGGTGGATCATGAGGTCAAGAGATGGAGTCTATCCTGGCCAACATGGTGAAACTCCATCTCTACTAAAAATACCAAAAAATTAGATGGGCGTGGTGGTGCGCGCTTGTAATCCCAGCTGCTTGGGAGGCTGAGGCAGGAGAATCACTTGAACCTGTGAGGTGGAGGCTGCAGTGAGCTGAGATCACCCAGTGCACTCCAGCCTGGTAACAGAGCAAGACTCCGTCTCAAAAAAAAAAAAAAAAAAAAAAAAAAAAAAAAAAAGAGAGTTTGCACTTGGTGAAAGCAGGCTCACACACAGCCCCCTCAGCCTTTCTGCACGCCCGCTTCCACGGAAGGCGCCGTCTGGTGGCGTCTCTGGCCAGACCTAACTCAGAGCTTCCTCCTGGCATGTTCCACCTTCTCCTCTTCCGTTGAAACTCGTTTCTGATTCCGACATTACATGCGTGTGTTGGCTGGATTTCTTAAAGAAAAACAGGCAAAAACAAAAATCCTTGAACAGTTCGGCTAACCTGAAACATGGGGGTGTCCCCTTGGGACCACCACTGGTAGATGTTTATTTCTGGCTGGTTAAGCAGACATCTTAGATTTAAAACAAAGAGGTCACCTCTTCCCCACCGCACTGCCCTGAGACCCAACTCGATCTGCCCATTCCAGGTGCGTGACCAAGACTCTGCGCAGCGGGGCTGGGTGGAGGCCGTTAAAGCAGCTCGGGGGTGGCCTGCCGGACCAGCTGAGCACCCTCACTAGTCCTTGAACGAGCCTTCACTACTACAAAGGCTCTCGTTTCTGTGGCCCAGACGCAGAGACTGCAGGAGGGGTTCTGTCTCTGTGCAATGCTCACAGCTGCCTCACCTCGCCCTAAACAGAGACAGGAAGTGAAGCCAGACCGGGCAGCGAGTATGGGGCGCAGAGGCAGGAAGAAAGGCCCAGCACACAGCGACCCGGGGCCGGGTGGCATCCCTGAGCCAACAGCTGTGGGCACCGGGCCGGCGGCTCCGCCTCTGAGCCCGGGCGGGCGTGCGGCTCGCTCCAAGGTCGTACACACCCTCAGCACGTCCCCACGGTGCCCGGCGCTGGGGCGCGGCCGCCACCGTCTCGGACACACTCAGGGATCCGCTTCTCCCAGCTGACGGTTTTCCCAGTAAAACTTCTCGGGGGCCTGGGGAGCCGTGGGGACGGGGACGGCTTCGCTCGGGCGCACGAGCAGCTCCTCACCGCGGCCGCCCTCAGCCCAGCACTTCCCCGGGCCTGTGCGTCCCCCGATGCCGCGTGAAGCAGCCCAGATGGCGGAAGCCCTTCCCGCAGCGGGGGCACTCGTAGGCCCTCGTCGTCAGGTGCAGCCTCCGGGGGATGCCGAAGCCCTTGGGCCACCGGAAGGCCTCGCCGCAGTCCGCGCAGGTGTAGGGCTCCTCCCCGCTGCGCGCCCGCCGGCGGTGGCCGAGGCTCTCCTCGGTCCGGGAGGCCTCGCCGCAGGCGGCGCAGCAGAAGGGCCGCTCTCCGCTGTGCACCAGCTGGTGGCGGAGCAGGTCGGACTTCGGCCTGAAGGCTTTGCCGCAGTCGCCGCACGGGTAGGGCCTGTGCTCCGCGTGGACCTTGCGGTGCTGAGCCAGGCGGTCCTTCAGGCGGAACGCCTGCCCGCACGCCTCGCAGCAGAAGGGCTTCTCGCTCGTGTGGTTCTTCCGGTGGCGCTGCAGGTTGGATGCCCACCGGAAGGTCCGGCCGCACTCGGGGCACCGGAAGGCCTTCGTCCCCGTGTGCACCGTCTGGTGGGCCAGCAGCCGGCTGTGGCAGCTGAGCGCCTTCCCGCAGGTGCCGCAGGTGAACGACAGCCCTGGCGCGCGCTGCCTCCGGCGCTCTCTGCGGCCCGGCCGCTGCCCACAGCACTGCGTGAGAAGCTGACGCGGGAAAGGCGCGGGCGTGGGGTCTGTCTTTTCCGGAGCAGCGCTGGGAAGCTGCCCGTCATCTGCGTCCAGCCTGAAGCTCTTCCTAAAGCCGATTCCTTCCCTGGCTCTTTCTCGCCGCACGGGGGTTTTCTTGTGAGCCCGAGTTGGATGATCCCAGTGTCTCTTGGGGTCTGCAGACTTCCCTGCCCCTATGAAGGAACAGAGACCCTTACACAGAGCCAGAGGCCCACAGCCAGGCCAGCCGGTGCCACCAGCAAAGCGCAGAGGACCCTCCTGCTGTGTGCCTCGATTCCCTTTCATCTACTCAGCTCATTCCACATGGCTACGCGTGACCAGGAAAACTCATTCAAAGAAACACAGATGAGCCGCAAGTATCAACAGCAGAAACCCAGATGAGCCCAGACGCCTCCCCAGCCCTGGTGGCAGGCAGGCCGCTCACTCCTGGCACTGCTGACGTGAGGGGGCACCCACACATGCCTGCCGACCAACAGAAGCAACTGGGCCAAGAGAATGTCCTTGCACCTTGTTCACTCAGCAGGCGCCACTTATGAGGGTGGAGGTGGGGCCGGATTGTTGTCTAGAAGACAGGTAGCTCCACGTGATTCTCCACCACTCAGTCTTGGAGTCACAGCTCCCTCCAGCCGGGACTCCACACGCCCAGGGACCCCACACCTCCCCACCGCGGGGCTCCACACGCCAGCTGCTCCACCTCACTCTGAAAGCCCAAGTAAAAAGCAAAGCCCTTCTGACCACTGCCCCAGTTTTGCAAACCGGAACGTGGAGCAAACTCCGACCCAGGGCCATACACCTGGAGACCCTCACGAGCAGCCAGTGCCAGGCCTGTGACCCCACGTGACCATCACCGGGCGGTCACTCACACCAATGGCCTCCGCAGGACAGCACTGGGTGGCGAGGTGCAGCCCTCAGGCCCCTCCCATCTCCCTGCACCACCGCACCCTGCGAGCCCTGGCCCTGGCCAGTGTCCATGGGGGCAGGAGCGGGGCAGCCCCTGCGTTTCTCCTGTCTAGTTTAGAAAGCAGCTGTGCGTGCCCTCTCCCATGGGAGGGACACACCCTCGGTCGCTGCACGGTGCTGCGCACTCACCCAGGGGCTGTGGGCCGCAGGCCCAGCTGAGCCCAGACAGCCGGAGGCACCCACAGCGCAGCCGGCGGCACTCACCTGCGCGGCGGCACTCACCTGCGCGGCGGCACTCACCTGCGCGGCGGCACTCACCTGCGCGGGGGCACTCACCTGCGCGGGGGCACTCACCTGCGCGGCGGCACTCACCTGCGCGGCGGCACTCACCTGCGCGGCGGCACTCACCTGCGCGGCGGCACTCACCTGCGCGGGGACACTCACCTGCGCGGGGACACTCACCTGCGCGGCGGCACTCACCTGCGCGGGGGCACTCACCTGCGCGGCGGCACTCACCTGCGCGGGGGCACTCACCTGCGCGGGGACACTCACCTGCGCGGGGACACTCACCTGCGCGGGGACACTCACCTGCGCGGGGACACTCACCTGCGCGGCGGCACTCACCTGCGCGGGGGCCCCTCGGCACGGCCTGCAGCTCAGGTCTCTCCCGGTCTTCAACCCATGGCTCCTCCCACTGTTCCAGGCGGGAGACGAGGTCTGGTCTGGGGCTGCAAAACCCTTCTCAAAGGAGAGAACAGGTTCCGTTTTACTTGGACTGAGGAACAAAGTGAGGGTTGAGGCTCAGAGCAGTTCTGCCGGGAGGCCCTGGAGAAGCCACCCCAAAGCAGAGATGACGGGAAGGGACGCGCCTGGACACGAAGGCCACAGACGGCCGGGAAGGCCTGAGGAAGGAAGATGCGGCTGTCTCCAGGGTGCGTGCGCCCCTCTGTCCACACGGCCCACGAGCTTGCAGCTCCTGGGCCCCCTCGGCTGGAAGGCCCCACTATCATCCCAGACCACCCAGGCCCAGAGGCAGCAGCAGGACTCACCCAGCACTCACCATCCCAGCACTCACCCAGCACTCACCACCCAGCACTCACCACCCAGGCCCAGAGGCAGTAGCAGGACTCACCCTGCACTCACCACCCTGCACTCACCATCCAGCACTCACCCTGCACCCACCACCCAGCACTCACCCAGCACTCACCATCCAGCACTCACCCAGAACTCACCATCAAGCACTCACCCTGTACTCACCACCCCGCACTCACCCAGCACTCACCACCCAGCACTCACCCAGCACTCACCACCCAGCACTCACCACCCAGGCCCAGAGGCAGCAGCAGGACTCACCCTTCACTCACCACCCTGCACTCACCATCCAGCACTCACCCTGCACCCACCACCCAGCACTCACCACCCAGCACTCACCCAGCACTCACCATCCAGCACTCACCCAGAACTCACCATCAAGCACTCACCCTGTACTCACCACCCAGCACTCACCCAGCACTCACCACCCAGCACTCACCCAGCACTCACCACCCAGCACTCACCCAGCACTCACCACCCAGCACTCACCCAGCACTCACCACCCAGCACTCACCCTGCACTCACCACCCCGCACTCACCCAGCACCCACCCCGCACTCACCCAGCGCTCAGCCCACGCTCTCCCGGCGCTCAGCCCGCGCTCACCCGGCGCTCAGCCCACGCTCACCCAGCACGGCCACGTTGCTGAAGTTGTCCAGCATCACGTCCCGGTAGAGGGCCCTCTGGCTGGGTTCCAGACACTCCCACTCCTCCCGTGAGAAGTAGATGGCCACGTCCCGGAAGGTCACTTGCTCCTGCAACACACACAGCTCCTGAACTGGCCTTTCCCAAGAAAAAGAGGGCTCAGCCCAAGGGTCTGGGCGGGAAGGGGGAATGGGCGTGGCCCTGATGTGAACAGATTGTGTCCCCTAAATTAATGCGCTGAAGCCCGGAGACCCGAGTGGCTGTGTCTGGGGCTGGGCCTCTGTGGAAGAGACTAAGGTTAAGTGAGGTCAGAGGGTGGGACCCTGACCCATGGGCCTGGTCCTCAGAGGCGGCTCCAGAGGGCTCCGGCTCCATCCTGCACACGTGTGAACACAGCGTAACAGCAGCTGTCTGCAAGCTGGTCACTGGCCGCTGCCAGAACCCGGATCTGCAGCTCCCTGAGCTTAGACATCAGCCTGCAGAACACACACAGGTGTGTGAACCGCCCACCGTGTGGTATTTTGTTATGGCCGCTCTGGTGGACTAAGAGCACCTGAGAGAATCTAGTTCATTTTCCTGTAACGGCCACTGCTCTCCTAAGGTCAAGAATGAATCCGATTCTCTCTTCTCTTCCCTCGCCTCTTAAGAGAGAAGGCAAAAAGGGGGACGCGGGCACCACGCCCGGGAAGTCGCGGCCACAGACCCTCCCTGCGTCTCAGGCAGCCGGCAGGGCAGAGGGGAGGCTGTGCTCAGCAGCGGCAGGGCTCACCTGGGCCACATCCATGGGACAGCGAGGCCACCCCTCTGCGGAAGCACAGCACAAGGAGGGCAGATCTGAGGAGACAAGAAATGTGAGCGGGCGCAGCGGCCTGGGAATGACCCCAGGACCCCCACTCAGCAAATCAGGAAGAATTCAGGAAAAATCAGGGATGCACACGTAGGGTCTGCTCTGCAGGTACCAACAGCCACCAGGTGTGGGGAGACGGGGGTGGTGAGGGGCCAGCCCGTCTTCAGGTTAAGGGACAGCTGGCCACCTCCCACACACAAGAACTCTGAAATGCCAGAGCAAGCCAGGCCTGTCATCGGAGGAGGACACAGGCCAGCCACGGCTGGCTGGAAGCTTAGCTGCAAACATGACCGGAGAATCTAACCCCACCGAGGCAGCTCGGACTCCTCAGGAGGTAGGCAGGGCAGCCCATTCCCATTCCTGTGGCGCTGTGCGTGAAAGATATTCTCAGGCACTCTACAAGGAGGCCACCTCGCAGCCTTCCCCCACGGAAAACCTGGTGCAGCCCCGAGAAATCCCGTTAATCTTCACTGAGTCTCCAGATCCAGCCACGAGCTCCCTAAACCTTACAGCCCAGACCCGTGGAGAGCCCCTCAGCATCCCACTGCTCTCCTGCCACGGTGGGTCCTGACCCCTTCCTGAGTGAAGCTCAGAGCCCCAAGATGCAGAAGAGACCAGCCCCACAGCGGCCCTGAGGAGAGACAGAACCAGCTGGAAGAAGATGGCCCATGCCTGGTCACTTTGTCAGAGGGAGGAGGGGAGACGTCATTTTGGCCCCTACAGACTGAAGAATCTGATAAAAAGGGCCATCAGGAGCAAAGTATGCAAACAGCAACTGAGATGAAATGGACAAACGGGATGGAAAACACAGTATGAGGAAACTGACAGAAGAAAAGGGAAGCCACAGGGCCTTCTACCTGAGGAAAACCCTTCCCACAAGGAAAACACCACACCCAGCGGGATTCCCTGGTAAACTCCACCAAAGCTGACGGAAGGACAGTACTGATCTTAGCAGCTGTTTGCAGTGAACAGAGGAAGAGCAGACACTATCCAGTCTGTCTGAATGAGGCCAGCAAAACTCAAACCAAAAACCTGATAGAGATATTACAAGGTGCCAGACTCAGTGGCTCACGCCTGTAATCCCACACTCTGGGAGGCTGGGGCAGGAGGACTGGTTGAGCCCAGGAGCTGCCCAGCTGGGGCAACATGGCGAAACCCTGTCTCTACAAAAAACACAATAATTGGCAGGGCGTGCTGGTGCACATATGTAGTCCAGCTACTCAGGAGGCTGAGGTGGGGAAATTGCTTGAATTCGGGAGGCGGAGGTTGCAGTGAGCCAAGATCGTGCCACTGCGCTCCAGCCTGGGTGTCAGAGTCAAACCCAGCCTCCCAGAGTGTGGGATTACAGGTGTGAGCCACCCTGCCTGGCCCCCTGTAATATCTCTATCAGGTTTTTGGTTTGGGTTTTGCTGGCCTCATACAGACTGGATAGTGCCTGCTCTTCCTCTGTTCACTGTAAATAGCTTCTGAGATCTCGGGGGAAAAAAAAACCCCATATTACAAGAAAATTATCTACCTCTCTCATAAACACAAATTCTTTTAAAAAATTAGGAAGTCAAATCTAGCAGTTTATAGAATGAATTCTGTCATGACCAAGTGACGTGGACCCTAAGAGTGCATTGCTGGTTTGATCCCCGTTAGCTGCAGCTGGTGCCCAGGAGGCTCTTCCACCACCTGCACTCAGCACTGGGCGCACTCACCCCGCCCCTCGGCCCTCCCGCCTCCAGCACAGCGGGTTCTCTCTCCTTCTGACACTCTCGACGGGTAGTTACACTCACTGCAACCTGTTTTCATGAATATGCTTTTCAACTGGAGACTTTTTTTCAGCCTTTCAAGAGCACCGCACCAATTGCGATCACAATGGCTTCCCCAACATTTGCTGTCCTTTGAAAATGACGTAATTATAACCACAGTAACAGAATAAAGGAGAAAACCATATAATGCCTACTATCTCAATAAGTGCAAAAAAAGCGTTTGTTAAAATTCAACACCTAATCCCAACAAAAGCTCTCAGCAAACAAGCAACGGAAGAGCACTTCCTCAACCTGGCAAACGGGCAGCCAGCGTCCTGCTTCATGGGCAGGAACATGGAACCCTTCCCCTCTGAGACCAGGGACAAGCAGAGTGTCTGCCTACAGCAGGCGTCCCCAAACGTTTTACACAGGGGGCCAGTTCACTGTCCCTCAGATCGCTGGAGGGCCGCCACATACTGTGCTCCTCTCACTGACCACCAATGAAAGAGGCGTCCCTTCCTGAAGTGCGGCGGGGGGGCCGGATAAATGGCCTCAGGGGGCCGCATGCGGCCCGCGGGCCGTAGTTTGGGGACGCCTGGCCTACAGCTTCTCGTTATCGTCTTATTGGAGGCCTGAGCCACCGCAAGGGGGTAGAAAAAACACATAAAGCCATAAGATCAGAAAGAAAGAATGTCAGGTATGGTGGCTCACACCTGTAATCCCAGCACTTTGGGAGGCCGAGGCAGGTGGATCACCTGAGGTTAGGAGTTCGAGACCAGCCTGGCCAACATGGCAAAACCCTGTCTCTACTAAAAATACAAAAATTAGCAGGGCATGGTGGCAGGCACCTGTAATCCCAGCTACTTGGGAGGCTGCGGCAGGAGAATCACTTGAACTCAGGAGGCAGAGGTAGCAGTGAGCAGAGGTTGCAGTAAGCCAGGATTCTGCTACTGCACTCCAGCCTGGGCAACAGACAGACACTGTCTCAAAAAAAGAAAAAAAAAAAAAAGAGAAAAGATTATAGGCGGGCGCGGTGGCTCACGCCTATAATCCCAGCACTTTGGAAGGCCGAGGCGGGTGGATCACGAGGTCAAGAGATCGAGACCATCTTGGTCAGCAAGGTGAAACCCCGTCTCTACTAAAAATATAAAAATTAGCCGGGCATGGTGGTGCGTGTCTGTAATCCCAGCTACTCGGGAGGCTGAGGCAGGAGAATTGCCTGAACCCAGGAGGCGGAGGTTGCGGTGAGCCGAGATCGCGCCATTGCACTCCAGCCTGGGTAACAAGAGTGAAACTCCGTCTCAAAAAAAAAAAAAAAGAGAAAAGAAAAGATTTATAGAAGAAAAAAAAAATCAGTCATTATCTTCCTAACACTGGGGTAGGCAAAGATTTCTTTCATAGACCCCCAAAAACACTTTAAAAAATTACAAATCAGGCCGGGCGCGGTGGCTCAAGCCTGTAATCCCAGCACTTTGGGAGGCCGAGGTGGGCGGATCACGAGGTCAAGAGATCGAGACCATCCTGGTCAACATGGTGAAACCCCGTCTCTACTAAAAATACAAAAAATTAGCCGGGCATGGTGGCGCGTGCCTGTAATCCCAGCTACTCAGGAGGCTGAGGCAGGAGAATTGCCTGAACCCAGGAGGTGGAGGTTGCGGTGAGCCGAGATCGCGCCATTGCACTCCAGCCTGGGTAACAAGAGCGAAACTCCGTCTCAAAAAAAAAAAAAAAAAAATTACAAATCAGATTTATCAGCATTAAAAATGTTTGCTTATCAAAGCAGTTAAGGAAAAAAAAGAGAGACTGGGTGCAGTGGCTCTTGCCTGTAATCCCAACACTTTGGGAGGCTAAGGCAGGAGGACTGCTTGAGGCCAGGAGTTTGAGACCAGCCTCAGCAACAAAGGGAGACTCTGTCTCTATCTTTTTATATAAAAAAAATTTTTTAAAAGAAACACAAAGGTTGGCCGGGTGCGGTGGCTCACGCCTGTAATCCCAGCACTTTGGGAGGCCGAGGCGGGTGGATCACGAGGTCAACGGATTGAGACCATCCTGGTCAACATGGTGAAACCCCGTCTCTACTAA